GAGCGTCGTTCCACACACAAGGGTACGGAGTAGAACATGGAGACATAGCCGAGATGGGTCTTACGTCTCTTTTAGAGGTTGACCATCCACACGAAAATGGAGATATTCCAACGGATGGGATTCCCTCTGCAACATTGCTTAAAGTTTTCAACTTTTTTCGTTAACCGAATGACAATTTTCATGGAAAATATGAAGAAGATGTACCTCTGGCAAGTGCTCGGACAATTTCAAGATTAAGGGTTGTGACCTGAAAGTGAACAGAAAGGATTAGAGAACATATCATATTTAGCTTTGAGATAAGCGAATAAGGTATCATATCATAGCCGGTCTTACAGATATGCGTGTAGCGACAAACCCGGCTTTTACAACAGGTTTCTCAATACCGCCTTTGTGAACTCCAGATTTGCTAGCCTGAAAGTGCCCAAAAGAACCTAACACCATATTTTAGGATGACATAAAACAATTTACTACCAAAATCTAAACGATGTTAATGAAAACCCTATATATTAAAGGCTCTAAAAAGCATATATCTAATCTAAATCTGGGAAAGACAAGTAAGGCAGTGGCAGCAGATGAAGATGAGTAATATTTCCAGAGATCTCTCTATCAAGCAGCTATGGAGGAGGATGGAACTAACCTGCGCCATGAACTACAACGAATTTTCCAAACTCAGCAGTCTCCTCATCGCCAATCTCATCCACATCACAAAAAATCTCAGAACCTCCAGGTCTCTTGCTCCAATCCATTCCAATAACTTTGCTTGAGCCTGAACCCACCATCCTAGCCTGCCTTAATTGGCACGCCGTGATCGAGAGGTTCTCATCATGAATCTTCTCCAGCTCATTCTTGCAAGTAACGGCCGCACCGCCTGTCAATTCAAACATTTCCTCCATATTAGCTTCAGACGTTCAACAAATATAGAGAAACAGGATGACGACGAGACAGAGATATGGTTTCTCTAAATCTTTCTTCATTGATAAGGACTTCAGTTACCAGATATCGATTCCGAAACCAATTAGAGCGATCCCATTACGAAAAACGGAAACTCTTATCAAATGATTCCGGTCTTAATCGCATTGAGAACGGAATCAACGTAAATCCAAAAGACGAACCCATGGAGGAAAAAAAAACAGCAAAAGACTCGAGATTTGGGATCTTTAAGACAAACCCAGTTTCACAATGCAGCGAATTGAGCTGTTCCGTCTTTCTGGGAGGTTCAGCTCCATTTGCTCCGCTCTTCGAGGTCAACGATGTTTCCAATGCTTCTTCTCTTTCAGAAAATTTCCCGTTCGTTCGCAAATTTCACCGTCCCGTCTCGGTGATTAGGCCTGATTATGGGCCCATTAGGCCACTCTGGTTCATAATGGGCCTCGGCCCATTATCAATTTGAACAAAAATATGATAATTTAAGCAAAATGTAGATTTGTCACTAAAGAAATTAGATGAAAAGAGAGAGCATATGCCAAATTGCCAATGCAGACTATGTTCATTGCTCATCAAGTAGTATTTGCCCCCACGCCTTATCATTCACCCATTGACCCATTTAGGCTGTCTTGATTTCACTTCTCCCCACAAAATATTAATCTCAATATGTAATTAATTAATTGATTGATTAATGTATTACTACTCTCTTGGAACCACAATTTTACATTTTATATATATACATATATATGTATATTATATGTTCTGTCAAAATTTGAAAAAGTCACGGGTGTGGGAATAGGCACGTGCCTAAAAGAAACTCCAAGCAAAAAAGATAACAAGTTCACCGGTCTTTTCTCTGTTTGTCCCTTCTACCGTTTTCAAATCAGAAATGTAAGATTAGAGTCATTACATTTCACCAAAAAAAAAAAACGTATACTGTGGTGGAATTTAAATTTAGCATAATACAGATGAATTTCAATATCTTTCTTATTGCATCCCTAAAATGGCACGTTTGATATTTGAGACAGACGCTATGTAACATTATAATCTCAACAATAAGCATTCGACCATTTTATTTTAATATTTTAGTTTTTTATTCAAAAAGAGAAGATCAGTTATTTTATTTTTTTTTGGTGCCTTCTTATCTTACGTTTAGGATTTCGTTGTTGTAAGAAATAAGAATATGTGTTTTTATTTCATTAAACAATAAGTTTGTGGGGTTATATTTAATTAAATTACATCGAGAGAACCGAGGAAAAGGGAAACAGTTCTTTGAAGGAAAGAAAAGGACAGACAGATGAAGACTCCGTGGAATTTAATGCGTACCATTTACTCCTTTCAATTCCCATATTTAAAAATATTCATATAATATAATATTAAACATTATAATATATACAACAATAAGTCATGACATGATACTAAACATATTCTCTTGTTCAGATTCTTTTTTTTTTTTTTGTGTATTTTTTGTTTCGGTGGTCAAAGCAATGTGAGACTGAGACATCATCATATGACATACGATTGCTAATACTAATACTTACCACCTAAATACAAATGGAACGTATAGGCATAAGGAGAATGATGAAAATATTATGGTAAAAAAAAAGTTTTACTGGATTTGCCAGCCCAGCAACTGGACTGTGAAAACTATGATTTGGCCTGAGTAAAAAAAGGTCACTACTGCTAATTATAACTCCTGTCTCTCTCTCTCTCTCTCTCCCTCTCATCCATGGTGGTGTGGTGTCTTTAGATCTGTGCATCAAAAGCTAAAAGCTTTGCGCAGAAGAAACAGAGAATCCCAAACCCATAATTGGGTTCTTCGAGCGTTTCTTGTTCGTTGTTTTATCTCTCTCCCCAGTGGTCAAATGTCTTCCACTTCACTCTTCCCTCTAGTCTGAGACTTTTTTGTTCACTGTTGAGTCCGTGAGAGAAAACGGTGGATTTCCAGGGAAAATGAGTGAAAACGCCGAGCTTTTTCTAAGTCTTTTGGTTTGAGTTTCTTCCATTCTTCATCTGGGTTTTGCAGTATTTTAGCGGAAAATGAGGAAACATGGATGGCAACTTCCATATCACCCGCTTCAGGTATCCTATTTTTTTTTCTGGATGAAGTCTCGGTTTTTCCCCTTCTCTCTGGATTACAACCTGTTTGTCATTGTTAAGTTATAATTTTGATGGAAAATTTCGTTCCTTTTCCTGGGCACAGGTGGTGGCAGTTGCCGTGTTCTTGGCTCTAGGGTTTGCTTTCTATGTGTTCTTTGCACCCTTTGTTGGGAAAAAGATGTATCAGTACATTGTGATGGGCATTTACACTCCTCTGGTAAGCTGAATTTCTCTCCCTCTTTTTCCTATTTGAGTTTTTGGGCTAAGATCTGCCCGTCTTCTTTGCTTGTAGGATTATCCTGAAAATGGACAATCAGCTTCCTTTTTTTTGTTATGTTTGACTTTATTCACCTCAATGAATGTAATTTCTCTTACTGTTTTGATCCATTGTCTAAGATTAGCGTTTGGATTCGATAACTTTAACTCTCAGAGATTGCACTGGCACCGATCCATCCAAGCTGTTTGTGTTCTTGAATCAGTGATAGCTAGAAAGTTCTCCATTGGAAGAGAATACTGTGTAGTTTGATGAACTTTTACTTCCATTTCAGTTTAACCCACATGTAAAATTTGTATAATTTGATGAACTTCTTATTGATCCTTTCCTGGATGGATTCATATACTGGAGACAATTCTGAGTGACATCCTCTTTCTTTCTAGATTACATGTGTCTTTGGCCTATATATATGGTGTGGGGCTGCAGATCCTGCAGATCCAGGAGTTTTCCGGTCAAAGAAGTACCTTAAAGTTATTGGAAATGAGAAATTTTCCCGAGAAAAGGAAACGAAAGATGGATGTGTATCTAGTGCTGTTACAGGTGGTGGGAGATCTCCGGAAAACACCATTTCCCACCCAGGTACATGTGTTCAAGACCCAGAAAATGATCCTAAGGAGAAACCGAAATCATCAGAGAATTCATCTTCCCCGCTCTTGCTTTGCTCTCCTTGTGCTGTTATTTGTAATTGCTGCAACCCGAGGAATGAATCTTCGAAGCAGCAGATGAGCGAGGATGGAATGTTCTATTGCAGTTTGTGTGAAGTTGAGGTGTGGGGGAAAGCATTTGAATTCTTGAAACTCATCAATCTTTCTTCATTTCTTCATTTTAGTCCTTCTTGATCTTCATGGAATCAATAACGATCACAAATCGGTATTGATTATATTTCTTTCTGTAGGTCTTCAAATACAGCAAGCATTGCAGAGTTTGTGACAAGTGTGTGGACTGTTTTGATCATCACTGCAGGGTAAAACATGATTTACTCGAAAATTTCTGATTTTTCTGAATTATTCTCCCTGCTTTCCGATCTTTCTTATGCTATTTCTACCTCGAACTTGTGTAGTGGCTGAACAATTGCATCGGCAAGAGGAATTATCAGAAATTCTTCACTCTTATGGTCTCTGCTATTCTCTTGGTAAGCAGTTACTTTGATACTTCAAGCCTTGCTAAAAACATAGAGTGAGCAATAGATTAGTGAATTTTCGATAGAAATGTATTATTGACCGATAGATATATTGTTTGTTCCCCTTTTGGGGCTTGAGGTTGCAGCTGATTATGCAATGGTCAACCGGAATTCTTGTCCTCGTCTTATGTTTTCTCCAAAGGAAGCGGTTCA